CTTTTGAAATTTTAATGATCAATAAAATGACGTTTTGAAATTTTAGTGACCAATACAATGAACATCTGAAATTACAATGACAAATAAAACTACCTTTTCAAATTTTAATGCCAATAAAATGACCTTTTGAAATTTTAATGACCAATAACATGACGTTTTGAAATTTTAATGTCCAATAAAACGGCCTTTTGAAATTTTAATGACCAATAAAATGGCGTTTTGAAATTTTAATGGCCAATAAAATGACGTTTTAAAATTTTAATGACCAATACCATGACATTTTGAAATTTTAATGACCAATAAAACGACCTTTTGAAATTTTAATGACCAATAAAATGATCTTTTGAAATTTTAATGACCAATAAAGTGACGTTTTGTAAATTTTACTCGGGTTTACTAAATTCTCTTTCATATCGCTCTGATGATTTTATGGTACTCTGTTGCCTGTAATGTACCTATTCTCTCCATAACTAAAAACTTACTTACTTACTTATCTGTACTTTAGTTTTTAAGATCATTTACAATGTGTAAAAATCTAATCGTGTGGGTACAATAATCCCTGTCGAATGAGGTAAATAACCCTGTATATTTTTATTCAGAAAATTAAAAACAAAACTTTTCTAGCCTCCACATAAAAATTCCTGATAATGAAATTTCAAGATATAAGCAGACATCTGCAAAATACCATCAATCCATTTGAAGACTGGATTGAATAACTCAAACAATACAATGGCAAAACGTATACTTAGAGTAGGTTAGCGCAGAGGATCGTCTCCCACGCCACGCCGCACAAAACAACAGATTTGTAATCATCTAACCGCGTTTGAACATATCAATTGGCAATTAAATTTATTATATCGGCTAGGCACAGTTAGGAACAAACAATGGCCGCATGACAATGCGAGAGGACTCTTCTCTCTTTTAGGCATCACGCCACTGCAGAGAGCCATTATCGTTCTATTATCGTCGAGAATAATATATTATTGTAAATCGAGTCTTGCATAATCTGACAGCTATTATCAATGTACTTTTATAGTTCTTCTTGTGTAATTCTTTCCAGTAGATGGCACCATTAAGAACAGAGCCAAATTCAATTCATACACTCATTTTTTTTAATATATTTTGTTCTAGTGGGCCGATTTTGATGATTTTTTAAGCAATTTGGAGCAAAATTATTTGACTTTTTAGTATCCCTTTTTAAATTAAAAACATAAGTTTCCATCTGTTTCAATTATACCAGGGAAAACAAAATGTTGATATTTTGGTGAAACTTTGAAACACCCTGTGGAATATGTTAAGACAGCAATGAATTTAAGCATCATTTTATCATCTAGGTACGTCTTTTCCAGATAGTTTATTTTTTGATTCATCTAAATAGCTTGATTTTTATTGGAGACGTACGCTTTTGAATAAGACAGTAACGATTAAAGCCTTTTTAGCATTGATTTTGGGCCCTCATCAACATACTTATAAAATAGTGTTTATTTTTTTTGTAATGTCACTGTTATTGAAAAGTCATATTATTATTGTTTATTGACGTTTACTCTAGTAAAGATGGTTTTAAGTTCTGAAGTATCGGCTATTGCTGCTTTAATTGAGCATGGTAGAGATCAACTTTTGAACTTAAAACCATATCTGCTAGAGTAATTTCCCAAAAGACAATAATAATATGATTTTTCATCAATCATAAACACAATTTTATAGGTCTGTTAACTAGAATTAAAAGTAAAGGCATAGTTTTAACATGAAAAAACGAAAAAATGTTATTCTCCAAAAGCGAATATATCAAAAAAAAATAATGCTATTGAGATGAATAAAAAATTAAAATATTGAGAAAAGCTACATCTAGATGATAAAATGCTTTTTAAATTCCTTGCTTTGTTAACGTACTCCACAGGGTGTTTCAAACTTTCACCAAAATATCAACAATTTATTTTCCCTCGTACAATTGACAGATGGCAACTTGGTGACCTGGTGAATTTTTCTACCATTATGGAGATTTGTTGGTCTGCCACCGATCGTTTTGTGACCATTCTCGTGAATGTTTTTGCAATGCCTCAAAAGTGTTCTGGGCTTATAATTAGCATTGATGAGCCACTCAATTGACGGGACATTTCATTTTCCTTTTTGTTACCCTTGTAAAACTCGTGCCCTGGTACCCTGTCTAACATAACACTGTTATTCTCGCCCAATTAAATAGTTAAAAAATAAACTCTTAAAACAGATTATAATGCAGCGTTTTCCACAGAACAACATAATATAATTGCTTTTGTAGAACCGCAAAAAGTCTCTGATTCGATGAGTTACGTTGATGAACCTTACCACACAAACAAGACTCATACATATAAAATTATTCCTTATCCTTCAGCTGAGGCCGCAGTGCAAGCAAGTTACTTGGAGGGTAGTGGGTATCGACCCTCCAAGTAACCCGCGAGGTATGTTTCCGTAACATGCGATTTCAACCAAACCAGCCGCGCGCAGTGCAATCCTCCACCAACTTAAGCCACAAAGCAACTCGCCAAGCGAGCCACTTGAGGATCAGTCGTGTTCGATATTTTCAGCCAGGCGTAAAGTAGTTTTGATCTAAAAATGAAAGAAAAATTGTAAAGCACAAGTGTTGTTCCGCAGAAATTGCTTCTCTGAAGTTTGTAGACGTCCTTTCTAATTTGTGTTGAAAATCAAACGATTTTACACTCATACGTGCATAATTAAAAAATTTGTTAGGGTAATTTCGCATTTTCTTGTAAACTCGCAAAAATTCTCCATCATGGTCTCTATACAAGTTATACTCATGCACCCACATCTTCTTATTTTCCATATTTACAAAGTTCACATAAGAATTGTCACAGAGCAGAAGCCTTCTGGCAAATTTTGAAAGGGACATGATACTAAAGACACTCACGGGAGCTACAATTTGCAACTGAACTTGATTAGATTGGTTATTGTTTTAATAATTTTTCGTCCACTACTGCGTACAAGGTATATTTACCCTCTACCCATTAACCTTCACCCTCTACCCGACAAGCTTCCCTCCACCCGTCTATAGTGCGGGCTTGGCTTTAGAGTTAAGGTACATTCAGGCTGAGAGCGTTGAGCGTCGCGTCGCGTTTGCGTCGCGTCCGCGTGTCGAAATGGAATCAATTCGCTTAACTTAAATTAGACCGTTAGGCAGACAGCGTCGCGATTGGCGTTGCGTTAGCGTCCGCTGAGCGTCGGGGTTCGAGTTCAATGGGGCGGACGCGACACAAACGCGACGCGACGCTCGACGCTCTCAGCCTGAATGTACCTTTATGTCCACTGCTTCAACCAAACCGAACCAGAATTTCTATTAAAAGTATCGTCTTTAGTTTATTGAAATTTTATTTTAAATTAATTTTAATTTAATTCATTTCTAAATAATGCAAACGTTGAGTTTATTCGTGTTTTTTTTTCTTTATTGCCTGTGTATTTTGTATTCTCCTTCGGAGGAAATACACAAGTAATGTTTGTATTTCAAAAATATAAAAATATTTTTACTACCTAATGCTCCACGTGCATCTAAGAACATCTAAATATATCCCAAAGGTAAATAATGTTTAAAAGCTAGCAGTATACCGTTTATATGGAAATAAAAACATCCTTTTAGAATTCCTTAGAGCCAGATCTTATTTTAACCTTGTATGTGTCTATACTTCCTACTTAAAATATAAAGATTTACACCGGGCAGCTAGGCACTACTTCTCTACCATGCATGTATTTAATTAAATATATATATATATATATATATATATATATATATATATATATATATATATATATATATATATATATATATATATATATATATATATATATATATATATATATTATGTATGGTGACATACTTTTAATTTTTAAAATTATGTAGGTATGCATATCAAAGACACATAAACATAGTTTTTTTAATAATTTAATAGTACTAACATAAATTTACTTGAAATAGTAATTGGTAATATTAACATTGTGTTAGTTAAAACTCAACCATATTTTCTTCTGACGGAAAAAAGGCTTGTTTTCTATAGCGGGTAATTTAAAACTTAAGCATATTTGAAGAAAAAAGTCGTTTAACTGCCATAAATGCCCAAGGTTTCACTTATGCTATCTTAAGAAGCCTCTTAAGAGATTTTAATACCATAATTGGGGCTCTCCCTTACGATTACGATCTTAAAACTCCTTGAAAAGCAATTTGAAGACAATATTCCTTGTACCAGCAATTATATACATGTTCAGAATAAATAGTTTACTTTTAAAATATATTTGAGAATTAATGTTGAAAGAGTATATTCCATACGGAGTAGGTAAGTGTTTCATTCGGTCGAGAGATCTATACAGGGCATTTGTTAACGACATGCTAATATTTAAGAGGGTGATTCAACATGTTTTGAGCTACAATGTGGTAAAATTTTCTAAGAAATTGTTTTTGGAATTTAAGACAACAACAAGATTTACAACAAAAATCTTTTTTTGTAAATCAAAAAATGCATTTTGATGCATATAAGACGTGTATAAAATTTTATTAAGATTATTATTAACATCGGAGTTATTCTAAAGAAACGTTTATTTTAGAAAATTTTACCACCCTGTATCTCAAAAGTTAAGATGTTTAAGACATACATCCATATGAAATTTTTTACTTAGAATAAATCCAAGAATAACCCCCTTAGTATTAGCATGTCAAAAAAGAAAACCTTGTATAGTTATTTGAGATTAAAAAAAATCTCAATAATCTCAATTTATATACAACCACGTCATTAAAAAAGTAGATACAATATTTTATGGAAAAAATGTAGTAAGTGTCTTCAGAGTCAGTAAAACATAAATTATGGAAATTTCGAATATCTCCTTCTTCCTTCAAATTTATGTAACACCTCAACAATTGATCATTTTGATCAAACCAAACTCAAAAATGATTTATTATCCTTTTCATTTGTACAGGTATAAAAATATAATGTTAGTTAATATTATAGATAATAAACTCTTACCTTCCCTGTCAAAAGGTATTTCTTGACAGGAATCATCTCCTTCTGGCCGACATTTGTACACTACACCTCCTGATTTTACTTGGCTCCCTTGATACTGAGACTGTGCCTCAGGGGCACCAACCAACACCCTGTAAAAAAGAAAATCATATAATATAATAGTAGGAATCAAATTTAAATCACATATAGGTACATCACAAGTTATTTTGTGAAATATTATTGTAAATTTGATATCAATTAAACTTTTAGTTACGTAATCGAGAGCGCGATTTTAAAATTCATTGCTGCCAACCATGGACATATTCGGTGCCGGGCTGATTAACTGGAATTTAAATTTCCCGCTGGGGATTCAGGTGGTAGCTCTGCTGTAAAAAATGTCAAGTTACCACATTTATTTGTTTACTTCCTGAAATTTTGACACTTTAGTCTGACTAGTTTTGACACTTTAGTCACAAATTACCTATAACAGATGCGAAAGAAAGCGACTGCATCGGAAACCGCTCGGCAAACCCCACACGCCTATTGAGTGGTGTAAATACACCAGTCGTTTAGTCCGGAAACCTATGCTGTGTCGTATTCGCTTGCTGGAATAACATAGCGCGTGGTTATATGTTTCTTTTTAAAAACGGGTGTAGGATTTTTGTTGAACTTTTGAACTGTTATTTCTAAGTTTTGGTAATTTGTATATCTTATTTAAAATTGGATACAAATGTGTTTATTTATAAGGAAAAAAAAGATATCTATAGTATAAAAAATTAATTTATTTAACAAAATTTAATTAAAAATGTGACAAAATAGTACCTTTCTATTGGTTCTATCAGACTTTTTTCGACTATATAAATCTTTATTTGTAAACTTTAATACATCAAATATTTTCAATCTAATAAATCATTTAATGATGTAAATAAGAGGAAATTTCTCACATGGGTGGTCAAATTCTATAGTTTTCATTATATCAAACAGCCTCTGAGAAATGTTTTTAACTCAAAATGCCTTTAATTATGTTTGACTACATCAATTAAAAGGGTCTTCAAATACATCAATGTGATATTTGTCTAAAATTTGCAAAAGAATCCGAATCTCTGGATAACTCGAAATTATTTACCCATTTAAAAGCCTTTGATCATGAAAGTGGAAAAATTTGTTCATTTTATTTACTGGAAATGGAAAAGTTATTTATATTAAATTTTGATGAGTTTTGCACTGAAGAAAACATTCAGAGGCTGTTTGATATAATGAAAACTATAGAATTTGACCACCCATGTGAGAAATTTCCTCTTATTTACATCATTAAATTATTTATTAGATTGAAAATATTTTATGCATTAAAATTTACAAAAAATATAGATTTATATAGTCGAAAAAAGTCCGATAGAACCAATAGAAAACTAACTATTTTGTCACATCTTCAATTAAATTTTGTTAAATAAATTATTTTTTTATACTATAAATATCTTTTTTTTCCTAATCTCCTACGAACTGCTATTAAATTACTGTGAGATTATATGCCTCGATAACATATTGGTGCAGATTATTTTCACCCAAACTATACATTGATGCGGATTGTCTATGAACTCTTTCTGAAGGTCACAGAAACCTGAACGCGTAATTCGGTGTTCTTTCGCATCTGTTGTAGTTAATTTGTGCTTTAGTTTTGTATTACGAGTTTTCGGTTGTAAATTCCTTATAAAATTCTACATAACGAGGGTCACAAGGCAGGACCTCACATCACTTTTTTAATAAAATTTTATTATTTTTTTAAAAAATTTTAGCAATATTTTCACAAAAATAATTAAAAATATTTTATTTGGTAAGAGAGCATTGATATTTCGGCTCTATAAGATAATTATTCATTAAAAAAATAATAATTTAATGTAAAATTAGGTATATTTTGTGGATTTCCTCAAAAATCCTATCAAAAATGATACGAGGTACTGCACTGTGACCCTCGATAAACTAATGAAAAAATAATGCAGTTTATGTAGAATTCCATAAGAAACACAAAAATGGTAAAAGACTATTTCTTTTACCATTTTTGTGTTTGCTTTTTTTGTGGGTTGCTATTTAAAATTTTAGGGGTAGGTGCCCTGGGGGTCAAGGGGTTGAAAGTAACACCACAACAAATCTCTAAAAAATTGTCCCCCTTGATATGTAAATTGACGTGTTTCGCCAAATTTTCATACTATCATCGGTAGAGGGGCAATATTAAATGCTATTGGGTTTCAAATTGTCACCCTGTATAAAAGTAGGCAACGCTGTGCCGGTCAAGTTAATCTGGTGACTAAAAGTTTATTTGGTATGAACTGTATATACCATTACAAACAAATCGCATTTAGTATTATGTAATCTCTAAAATGTATAAAAATTGTAGGTGGTCCTATTTTATATAAGCAAAATATTCAAGAAGGTGTATCAGGAAGTAGAAAATACAGTGGTGGCCAAAAGTATGGAAACTTTTTACTTTTTAAAATATCACAGAAAATATTGCTATGCTTAAACTCTCAGGAATATAAATGAACAGCTTATCAGCAAATAAAAGTATTCCAAAAAAATACACAGCGAAAAAAATCTGTTTAGCAGTTTTTGTAGGAGAACAATAGATTTCTTGTGGCCAAAAGTATGGAAACCATAAATAAATACATTAAAATTATTTAGTTTAAGCTGATAAAACGGTACGATTTGCTTCAGATAAATATAAACATCATGCCCAAGTCTAAATATTTCTCTACGGATTTAAAAAATAAAATAGTTGAATTATACAAGAGCGGTTATAAACAAATTCAAATAAGTAAAAATTTAAACATTTTAAGAAGCACCGTTTCGAAAATAATTCGTAAATTTAATAAAACAGGGAACGTTTCAACAGCTTTTAAGTCAGGTAGACCAAGAAAGTTGTGCAACAGGACAATGAAAGTAATGAAGAGAATATCAATGGGAGATCCAAGAAAAACATCCACAGACATTTCTCGAGAAATGGGTAAAAGGGGAATATCGGTGTCTGCACGCACGGTGAGAAGAAGGTTGGATGACATGGGACTTTTTGGAAGAGTTGCGGTGAAGAAATCACTAATATCAAAGAAAAATAGGATGGCCCGCTTTAAATTTGCTCAAGATCATCTCACCTGGTCTTATCAGAAATGGAATACTGTACTGTTTAGCGACGAAAGCAAGTTTCAACTGTTTGGTAGTGACGGGAGACGCGTTATGTCCGAAGACCAAAAGGTACACGGTACAGCCACAGTCCCAGATGCCCACAGTAAAACATGGGGGTGTTTTTCTCGCTCAGGTGTTGGTCCTCTTGTTAAAATTGATGGGATAATGGACCGTTTTTTGTACAAAGACATATTGGAGAATAATATGCTGCCTCATGCTGATGAAGAAATGCCACTCAGATGATTGCTCCAGCAAGACAATGATCCCAAGCACAAATCTCGGTTTGTTCAAAATTGGTTAAATGAACATAATGTTCCACTAATGGATTGGCCCTCACAGTCTCCGGATCTTAACCCCATAGAAAATTTATGGGACCATTTGGATAGCAAAATTCGAAGCCATTCTATTTCAAATAAAAATTAATTATGGGAAGTGCTAAAAACTGAATGGGCGGCCATTTCCAGTAAAGATTGTACGAGATTGATCGATTCGATGCCACGAAGATGTAGAGAAGTAATTAATTCAAAGGGATATTCCACTAAATATTAGTAATTTTTAGATTATCTTGAATTTTAATAAACATTCTTCTTAAGTTTCCATACTTTTGACCAAGAAAATATTCATAATTTTTTATATATTTTTTGATAGCTGTAATTTTTTATTTAAATGTATTAGGTTTTGTAGAAAATTATTTGTAGGTCACGATTATATAAGTCGTTTTATTTCATAATTTAATTTCTCAGCATAAATGACAAATTAAAAAAGTTTCCATACTTGTGGCCACCACTGTATATATAAAAGGAAGTAAATTTACATTCCGTCGTCAAATCTTTAATTAGAAACCTTGTGTAAAACATAATGAATTTTTGTAAATGCATATACCGGGTGCGTCTGAAAAGTGGCTCACCCCTATAACTTTTTTATTTTCTTAGATAAAAAAAAACAGATTTGGTATGCCAGTATATCACATAAATTATAATTGATTGACATATAAATGACATATTATAAGTCAGCTTTTGACATTTTAGCGTAAAAAAAGTCGTATTTTAAATTTCAATCTAGAGTGTCATGGATATATTAAAAAAACTAATTTTTAATCAAGGATCCTGGATAAATAGTTTTGAGTGTCTAATGATTTTCGTGTTTTGTCCGGGCCCGTTATAAGATGCCCAAATCGTATTTTTAATCATATCTCAATTTTTTCAATTGGAACAAGAGTGGCTCATTAGCATATTTGGAAAAAGAATTTTTTTACAAATAATTTGGTACCACACACTTGCTATTTCGAGTCAAATTGTCATTATGAATCGCTGTTACAATTTCAAATAAACCATATGCGAAAATGTCAAAAATTGACATATGATATGTCATTCTATTCAGAGTGTCATTTTCTATTGAATAATGTAAAAACATACCGGTGGTGTCATTTAAAAATCAAAAGTCATTTCCGGTGAAACTGGAAGTGACCAAAACCAATTGAATACGTCAATCAATCCTAATTTATGTCATATACTAACATACCAAATCTCGTTTTTTTTATTTGAAAAAATATAAAAGTTATAGGGGTGAGCCACTTTTGAGACGTACCCGGTATATTTAAAACAGTATTGTAACAATGGCAGTTTAAAAATTTGAAAACATCTAAAAACAATTTTAATAGTTTTGAATTATTAGTACTGAATGAATCTTTAATTTATTTTTTTATATATCTTAATAGGAGAAGCTAAATTTACGCAAGTATTCAGAAATGCCAAATGTAGTACGTTCGATATTTTTTCGCGTTGTATATATGGTGCGGAGGTCGATACTCTGTTAAAAGCGCAACTTTTTCTAAACTTGTTCGTCAGAAGCGGGCCGTAGGAAATCAAAATGGAAATGGACAACAACCAGTCATTACGGCATTTTCATCGTTTTACTGAACATAGAAATATGTGTACGCTTCTAGGAATATTGCGCGTCGTGTATGTTTTTGTGCCGA